AGTTGGTAGTGAATTTTACATTTAAGACCAAAATAGCCAAACTATTGCCTATTTTGGCTTTAAATTTTAAATTTCCCTGAGCTCCGAGCACGCCACCAAATACAGCGACTAAATCCCCAACACCGAGACTCTAACCGGCGAAAAAACGTCGCCATCATACAGGGGAAGCGGCCCTGAGCAGGCAGATGCCATTCATTTTCCCCACGAGTGGAAAAAACCGTCGGCGGGGAAACCGGCCTACAGCGTGAGAATCCTGCGGGACCTGAGTGCGACATACTGGGGCTTCCTGCCTACTGGAGGTAACTTGCATACGGCAAACAGCCAACAGATCCCTAAAGACATAGACATGGGGCGAAAAAAGCCTACTCCACCTACCCCAAAAGACGGGCAGGACATCGGCCAGATGCTGACAGCCTCTGCATGCACGAGAGGTATGGCAGCTACACAGCTAGAGGATACCCCAACGCCACCCACGGCGGGAATAGTAATACCTGAGGCCCCAACCATAGTAAACGGAACGGCCCCATCCACAAAGCAGAACATTCACAATTTACTCATGTACTTCCAAAACATGTTCTCTGCAGAGCTGAATATGGTCAAGACAGAGGTGCAGGCAGTCGGTGACAGGGTACAGGCTACTGAGGAGGACATACAGGACCTCAATCAAGGGATGACTACCCTGAACGAATCTGTCCAGCAACTAAGAGCACTACACACCTCACTATCCACACGTGTGGACTACTTGGATGACAGAGGAAGGCAACGAAACATAAAAATCCGAGGGATTGCAGACTCACTCCCCCCGGAAGAAATTCCCCACTTCATAAGGCGTTTGGCAGCAACCATCTTACCTGCGAAATCCGCCAAACATTTCAACTTCGACGGTGCATACCGCATCACAAAATCCTCACAAGCGCCCACCACAGCGCCTAGAGACATAATCCTGTACTGCCAATCCATGGCAGACAAACAAAGGCTCCTCACGGCACTTAAAGGGAAAACCCCGCTCCACTTTGAAACACACAACATTACCCTCTATCAAGACCTCAGCAGGCCCACCCTATTATGGAGAAAATCGATGAAACCCATAATTACAGCTCTACAAACTGCGGGACTAGCCTACCGCTGGACTTACCTGAGATCCCTCACAGTCTTCCGAGAAGGAAAGGCCCTGCGAGCAACAAGCCCCACAGAAGGTCCGGCCTTCCTTCAGTCCCTGGGCTTAACTGAAGCAACCCCACCAACGAGCTCCAATCACCAATGGGACGTAACGGCAATCACTCCCTTTGTGCCAGGGAACGAAAGGGACTTACCAACCTAAAGTCCGGAAAAGAACCAACTGTGTTTTTTGTTTTAGTTTCATCCCTTGCTTTTATGCTTTTACGCTTTATTTACATTAGACCATGTTACCTACATGTGTATAACCATGCCTGGGCACCACTGAGAACCATACAACCGCCACATGGCGGTCCACCAAGTGCTGCTACAGCAACACAAAAACACCCCAATAGAGAGCTTTCAAGGCCTCAAAACATATATGGGGTTTAAAGTTCACAATACCCCCTCCCCCCCCACATAGCCTCATGGGTTAGAGGCCACACCACACCCGGGAGACACACTAACGCCACAGACACAGTCACGTTTCTTAGCTTACACTAAGGAACAGACGGACACTTTGACTACCCACCACCAGGCTCCTGAGCACCACTCATCTACCGATAGTTATCATTTAAACAAAAAATAGGTGAACACACTAGACATCATTGTTTGCAAATACTGCACATGCTTATATACTGTGATACAATGAAAGTGCTGTATTGTCATATATCACCTGCCAAAATAAAGAATACAATTTTTTTTTTTTAATTTGCTTTTTTTTTTCAATTTCCAAAAAGTCTTGCTTTAGTGACTAGCTCTGTATGTGTGTGTTACTAAGCATACAGTGTCCAGGGCCATTTGTGGAAAACATCCCGTTTTAGTATAGACCTCACACATGCTCAGATGTCTCCTAGGACTGATGGTTGTTGTCATACACTGTCTGACCCGATGTACATGTCTATGGCTGGAGGATCCTGTTATATAAAAAAGGTTGGGATGAGTTTATTTATTTTTTTCACATTTTTACACATATACTTCATTTAGCAGAGAATATATTTCCTTTCAAAAACTGATGAAAAGATTCTTATATTAAAATGGTTTTGAAGTGACAGTTGACCTTTAAGTTAAGAACAACACTACAGAAAATAGAAAGAGTTGCATATGATGGGAGTAGGGATATATGGAGGCTGAATTAACAAATGCAAACATTTAAAACCTGTTTCTCAACTATATGCTTTTTCACCTCACACATGCTCAGATGTCTCCTAGAACTGATGGTTGTTGTCATACATTATTTTATGTTGAAGATTGTTGGACATTGGAGAATGTTCTAAGGAGCATGGACAGTACCTCTCTTCTTTAAATTATCCCTCCTGTCTAGAAGAGATTGACAGGAACTGCCACACACCCTTCCTCCTCCATACACTCACTTTATCCATATCCTCTCTTTCTGGCTACTAATGAGGAGATATGATATAGTCTTAATGTTAAAAGGAATGGAATGCCAAAAAATAAGGTATGAAATAAAAGCTGAAAAAATGAGTGTGAGCTAAGAAAAAGAGCAGTTATGGTCTGGGGAGAGATTAGGCAGAGAGGTTGAACTGGTACAAATAGGATGAGAGCTCCATGCTAAATTCGGACCTCAAACTCCTGGTGAGTGTCCTCGCAACCCGACTGGTGCTGCTATTGCCTGCAACTATCCACCAAGACCAAACAGGGTTCATCCCAGGCAGGGAGGTGAGGGACAACACCATTAGAACCCTGAACATTATAGCACATGCCAGAACACAAAAGACCCCAGTGCTACTCCTGTCAACAGACGCGGAAAAAGGTAGACTGGGACCTGATGTTCGAAACGCTCCGACACCTCGGCATAGGGGCAAAATACCTCACCTAGGTGGCGGCACTACACACATGCCCAACGGCACGAATCAGGATCAACGGCGCACTATCGGACCCGTTCCAGATACACAACGGAACCAGACAGGGCTGCCCGCTCTCGCCCATACCTTTGCGCTGACGTTAGAACCCTTCCTCAACACGGTCCGACACAATGCGGACATACAAGGACTAACAATCGGAAACACACACCATAAAATCCTGGCATACGCAGACGACCTCCTGTTCGTAGTCACAAGCCCGGTGACCTCCCTACAGGCCATACAGACGGAATTCGAGCTATACGGCCAACTTTCGAACCTTCAAATCAACCACTCGAAGTCAGAGATCCTGAACATGACCGTCAATCACACACTCAGACAAACGATCCAGAGGAAACACCCATACCGCTGGTGCGACCAACGCATGAGATACCTAGGAGTCTGGCTCATGTCAAACCCAGCAGATCTATACGCACACAACTACCTCCTGATACTGAAAACTGCAACAGAAAAACTGCACAAATGGAACTCATACTATATCTCGTCACTGGGAAGGGTGAATGCGGTTAAGATGACGCTACAACCCAAACTGCTATTTAAATTCCAAACAGTACCGATACTTGCCCCACAAGCGTTCTTCTCGACACTAAAGACAGAAGTCCGCAGATTTATTTGGAAGGGCAGATCCCCACGCGTAGCACACTCCCTTCTGATCCTACCTAAACTCCGAGGGGGTTTGGCACTACCAGATTTTGAGAAATATTACCATGCTGCACACCTAATGAGAATCATCAGCTGGTCGGTGTCTAGCGGCACCAAACCGTGGACCCAATTGGAATCAGATATGACCAACTGTGACCTCTGAACCCTACCATGGATCCCCAAAGCAGCGTACAGACACAAACACATCACCAACCCCTTCGTGATAACGACAATGCAAATCTGGCACAGGCAAGGCACGAAACAATACCTGACGACAGACCTGAGCCCACTCCTCCCTCTGTGGGGCAACCCGGATTTCCCAGCAGGAGAACTTGGCCCAACCCCAGGCCCGATAGGACTAAAACCAATCATCCGCATGAAAGACATCCTCCAACGCCCATTTGATATCCGCCCGCTGAACGAACTCTTCCCGGACAGACCACACACATTCATGCACACACTTGCGAGAGCGCAAATCGCACAATACCCCTGATCCATCCCTCAAAAACCATCCCTCCTGAGAGACTCAACGTCATTCAAACTCCTATGCACACAAGACAAGGAACCGCCACGAGCTATATCAAAGATTTACTCTGTCCTGATCGCAAGCAGATACTTACTAGCGCCTCCCTGCATCAGAAACTGGGAGGAAGACCTAGGCGAACCCATTATCGAGGCAGAATGGGACAAAACCATCACCCTGATACAGAAAACGCCGGCTTCAGCGCGCCTACAGGAAAACTCGTACAAAATATTCACCAGGTGGTACTTGACGCTGTCGGCGCTCCACGCAAGAAACCCAGAGATACGAGACACCTGCTGGAGATGCGAGGAGGAGGTGAGATCGTTCACACACATCTGGTGGTCATGCTCCAGGATCCGTCCTTACTGGGAGCCGATCCGTAAAACGATACATGAAATAACAGACGAACTACTGCCGAGGACCCCGGCCACCTTCCTCCTACACCGAACCACCATAACGACACAGGCATACGCTAGATCCATTATCCCCAGACTGCTTAACGCAGCCAAGGCGACCAACCCCATATACTAGAAGCAGACCACCGCACCCCTGTTGAGACGCTGGGTGGAGGAGGTGGAAGCTACACAGAAATTCGAGGATATGAAAGCAAATACCCAGACACAAAGGAACCGCTATATAAAATGTTGGTTCCACTGGATACGCCATACCACCTCAGACTCCTTTCAACACCACCACATAACACAGTAACCACAGAAAGAGAGGGAGAGAGAACAACAGACCCGAGTGGGTGTTTGGGAGGCCGCAGGGTGCGGCGGGCCGAGGTGGCAACGGGAGACATGACATCCAACCTCCATCCCCTACCTCCCCCAGCCCTCTCCTACCCACAACACTCTCAAACAGACGACTACAGACACCATAAAAGACCAAGCTACCATAAGGAGTGAAGACAATTAAATACCACACGAACACGGCTACTCGCTACGGCGATCCCCACTATGACATAGACAACCTAACACATCGAACAACCTACATGAACACGTCCGAAACACGCTAAAACGACTGAAACTACTCAAACAGACGCACACGCAAACACACCCGTCCAACACACAGGCCGAATATAAAGCCGACATAGTAGAAGGGGCCAATACGACGGGAAACACACCAATGACCCAAGGACACAATACTAATAGAAACACAAGACACCGCTCTACCCACCAGATCCCAGCAAACCCCGCAAAATCCACAGCAGTAAGCAAGACGAGAAGCCAAGACAAGCAGGGTTACCGCTGGGGCGGACAGAAAAGGCACCACATAGGAGATACCACCCCGGACACCCGACATGCCACACACACCCACACTACACTCCCACATAAGACCTACTACACAAAGCCATAAGTAAAACCAAAACGCAACATCAACTATTCCAACAGATGCGACAAATAGTCGAAAACTCTAGCACACGCGAAGCACACAGGGACTAATTAGACGCAACAAGCTCATGACAAGGTTCAAAAACATACCTGTATGCCTACCACAACATTTACATAAAATAAACACATAAATCCAGACATGCACAAACCGCAATGTATGTCAGATAATTATGATGCATAAAGTATGCCAAACCTGCCTCTGCGCAGGCAACCAATGGCTTATAACAATGTACCAAGAACCATGCCTCTGCGCAGGCAAATACACGCTACATAAAAAAAAAAATGTTTGTTAACCAAACTTATGGCGTGACTACAATAAAAATATTTAAAACAAATAGGATGAGAGACTGGGAGCAGAGGGCAAAATAGCATATAGTTGGTGTCTCAAATTCACACTGCTTAAAAATTACTAATTGTCTGCACTAGACTGAATATAATTATAAAAAAAACCTCTCTTAACATCACCACACTTAACTCTAGTATCAAAAGCTGCCACCACCAAGGCAAGTTATAACAGAATGCCTTTTGTTCTCTCTCTTGTTCTTGTTCTCTTTTGTTTCCAGAGAAAGGCAAAGCTACTTATCATAAACTAAATAGTCACAGTGCATTCATAAGAATAAGAGATGAAAAACTAATATTTTACACCAACACGTAAAAATTATAAGGAGCAATAAACAGAAATCCTAATTACTCTCTTAGCTGTTGTAGTAACAGAGTCGTCTGTCTGAAGACGAACCAATAGGAACTGGTACTCACCATTAGCATTCTATGGATTCAATACTTTTTTCCCCATCTCGAATTTTTAAGTTGGCCTGGAAGGAGGTACAAGGAAGAGAGAAAGTGTAACTGTAAGATGTCTAGTTTTCTTTCCCCTTCCATCACCTAATTTTGTTGGATTCAAAAACCAATCTATATTAAAAATATATTCTATGTGAAGGGCCGGACTTTTTAATTACAGCGGCCCACTACAAAGGGGGGGGGGGGCAGATAGGGTGTGTTTTGTCATCACCAATGACAAGCACGCCCCAGCACAAAGTGAGCATGTTGGTTCAATGCTCTTCCAGGGTAGACCATGCGCAGAGCTCTGCTGAAGATCTCTGGCATGAGAAAAAGACCCTGTATTTGTTCTGCACAGCGCAAGCAAATTCAATAACACGCTTGCACTGTGTTTGCTTGAAATTTGTCTCTGGTGTCCCCATAGTTGGGATACCAGGAGACAAAAATGCCAGGAAAGCATATTGTGCAGTGTGTGTGAGGGTGTTGTGTGTGTGTGAGGGGTGCAGTGTGTGTGAGGTGTGTAGTGTGTTAGTGATGGGTGCTGTGTTTGCGTGAGGGTGCTATGTGGGTAAGGGTGCTGTGTGTGATTGGGTGCTGTGTTTGCGTGAGGGTGCCATGTGCATATGAGGAAGCTGTGTGTGTCAGGGGTGCAGTGTGTGTGTGTGTGTGTGTTGGTGTTGTAAGTGTTAGGGGTGCAGTGTATGTGTGTTGTGCGTGTCAGGGGTGCAGTGAGTGTGTGTGTGTGTGTGTGTGTGAGGGTGCTGTAAGTGTTAGGGTTGCAGTGTCTGTGTGCTGTGAGTGTCAGGGGTGCAGTGTGTGTGTGTGTGTGTGTGTGTGAGGGTGCTGTAAGTGTTAGGGGTGCAGTGTGTGTCTGCTGTGAGTGTCAGGGGTGCAGTGTGTGTGAGTGAGGGTGCTGTGAGTGTCAGGGGTGCAGTGTGTGTGTGCTGTGAGTGTCAGGGGTGCAGTGTGTGTGAGGGTGCTGTGAGTGTCAGGGTGCAGTGTGTGTGTGTGTGTGCTGGGAGTGCAGTGTGTGTGTGCTGTGAGTGTGTGCATGTGCAGTGTGTGTGTTAGTGTGAGTGTGTGAGTGTGCTGTGAGTGAGGGTGCTGTGAGTGTCAGGGTGCAGTGTGTGAGTGAGGGCGCGTGTGAGTGTGTGTGTGTGTGCGCTGTGAGTGTCAGGGGTGCATGTGTGTGTGTGTGTGTGTGTGGGTGTAAGTGTTAGGGGTGCAGTGTGTGTGTGCTGTGAGTGTCAGGGTGCAGTGTGTGCGTGTGTGAGTGAGGGTGCTGTGAGTGTCAGGGGTGCAGTTATGTGAGTGTGTGAGTGAGGGTGCTGTGAGTGTCAGGGGTGCAGTGTGTGTGTGTGAGGGTGCTGTAAGTGTTAGGGGTGCAGTGTGTGCTGTGTGTGTGCTGTGTGAGGGGTGCAGTGTGTGTGTGCTGTGAGTGTCAGGGGTGCAGTGTGTGTGTGTGAGGGTGCTGTAAGTGTTAGGGGTGCAGTGTGTGTGTGTGTGTGTGTGTGAGTGTCAGGGGTGCAGTGTGTGTGTGTGCTGTGAGTGTCAGTGCAGTGTGTGTGTGTGAGTGTCAGGGGTGCAGTGTGTGTGAGTGAGGGTGCTGTGAGTGTCAGGGGTGCAGTTTATGTGAGTGTGTGAGTGAGGGTGCTGTGAGTGTGTGAGGGTGCTGTAAGTGTTAGGGGTGCAGTGTGTGTGTATGTGAGTGAGGGTGCTGTGAGTGTGTGAGGGTGCTGTGAGTGTGTGTGTGTGCTGTGAGTGTCAGGGGTGCAGTGTGTGTGTGTGTACTGTGAGTGTCAGGGGTGCAGTGTGTGTGTGAGGGTGCTGTAAGTGTCAGGGGTGCAGTTTATGTGAGTGTGTGAGTGAGGGTGCTGTGAGTGTGTGAGGGTGCTGTGAGTGTCAGGGGTGCAGTGTGTGTGTATGTGAGTGAGGGTGCTGTGAGTGTGTGAGGGTGCTGTGAGTATCAGGGGTGCAGTGTGTGTGTGAGTGAGGGTGCTGTGAGTGTTAGGGGTGTCTGTGAGGCTGATGTGAGTTAGGTGATTATATTTCCCCTCCCTGCTTACCTTATGCCTGGGAGGGGGGATCCTGCTGCTGGGGCTGCCATCCATCCCTGGTGGTCTTAGTGGTGAGTGAACTCCAGCCTGTGAGGCTAGAGTTCACTCTCGCGAGATCCGGTCTTTGCCATGGCAACGCTCCGAATCTCGCAAGAGGAACCCGGCGGAGTTGTAAGTTAAAGCTCCGCCGGGTTCCTCTGCTGGCTGGCTCCCTCCCTCTCTCCCCGCCGGCGGCCGCAATATCCTGCATGTGGGCCGGTGAGGGAGATATTTGATCTCCCCACCGGCCCACCGTGGACTGCTGCAGGGCCGGCGATCGGATAGTGCCGGCCCTGCAAAGACCGGCAGGAGAGATCCTGGGACCTCCGCTGCCGGCCTCGGCCCATGGCCACCGCGGCCCACCGGGCATTTGCCCGGTGTGCCCCATGGCCAGTCCGGGCCTGTCTACGTGCCACGGAAATAATTATTACATCTGTGAATTTGTTGCAATTTATCCATTTCATACACCTTTACAAGACCCGTCTTTCATGTAATAGAGTGGACTTCAAAAGTTCCTTCAAAACAGCTTGAGTTACGCTAGCCATGTTTAGACTCCTTTTGTAGGGTACGCTGTTGCTGTTATTAAAATGTGCAACATTAATGATTATTATTAATGCCTGGGTTATTACGATAGTTTAATGATTATACCCCCTGACAGAAAACTATATTCTGACTGCTAATAGTCACTTATCAAAGGGGACCAAGGTCTGTGAAGCAGCACAGGCAAATGGGGCGAAGTAACCTAGATAGAAAGTTAGACATACATGCAACTTGAGTGTACAATTTCACACCTGGTGACACATTTGGGGGCCAGGCTTTAAAGGAAAACTTTGCAAACCTTTTCCTGCGATCTGACACACAGCATATTAGTATACAAATTACCTCTTCCCATGCTGTAACCAGTCTATGAATATACTACACGCATCACACTTAATAACAATATTTTGATAGTGCAACAATTAATTATGCTTGCTGGGCATAACAAATGGGACATGGAAATGGTGTCAAAATGTGTAAATGGAGCCAAATATGGCAAGTGGGCTGTAAGTAGGGTTGTGGCATCCATTATGGTTTATAGGATACATATGTTTTTTTTTATCATGATGACAACACATGATATATGCTTCCCTGCAGTATATAGAATGTATTTGCCATCATTTTTTTGATTAATTACTCTAATGGTGGTGGAACATTGCACATATTGACCATCACAGAACCTTTAAGACCAATTATATCGGTGGAGCATTCAGCCAATTCTGTGTATTCAATGTTATACATGGCACACCAATCAAATTTTACATCTGGACAGAATCCATATCCGAGGAAAAAATCATGTTGACTTTACAGAGGTGGAGCAGGTAGTCCTAGAGCCAAGTTGTACGTTGGTGGACCACAACTTTAGTGGACCAGTTTCCAATTGTTGCAAAGGTTTAAATACCAAAGGCAAAGGTACTGCTTTGGATTTACTCAGATAAAGTTTATCTTCAGGGTCACCTGTGCTTAACAGTGACTTTGAGGTTTAACTCTGGGGCACTTTCTTTGATACATATGGAATCTATAGCACCATCTTTTTTTAACCAACCATTTGAGGTGGTTTAGTACCACTAGCTGTGTATTGTATATGGTGTATTGTATTGTGTATTTATATGGTGCGTGGTGTTAGTCCCTGATTGTTATGCTGGATGTGGGCATATCCTGTATTACATGTAGCAATAGAGGAAAAATTTTTAGGAGCTGTAGAAAAAAAATCTATATTTAAATATATTTTTCATAAATACATATAATATTGATTTTTTTTTGCTTCTTTTAATTTTCTTTTAATTGGTTACTTTTTCTTGATCTATGAACCAAAAATGCATTCTATTATGTATTATTCTATTATGTATATATTTTGCAGTACAGTGATTCTCCCATTTTCTGCTGATTTCTTTCAGTTTTTAGATACTTACATTTTTCCAAGCCGAACTGATATAAAGGCATCCCGAAAAATTATATTTTTGGGAAAAATGGTTGGGTCGTGCTGGATTTTCGCTTTAGTCTAGTTTCTGTTTATTTATTGGTTGGTTGAAGATAATTGAGCTTTTTTTTCCTT